CCACCCCTTCACGCCCCCCACCGCCCCTCCAACCCACCATCATAGTTGTGCATGAGCGCATCCACCACCGCAGACAGGTGGTCCCGCCTGTGGCCCGCAGTCAGCAGCCCCGCAAACATGGCCACAGAGCTGGCCGCCGCCTCCTGCACCTGCACCAGCCAGCCAGCACACGCGGCGGCGGCGGGCGGCGGCCGGGGAGGGGGAGAGGTTGGGAGGCGGCGCGGCGGGCCGGACTGGGCGCCGGCGGCGTCGGCCACACGCGTGGGCGCAGCGCCCGTGCCGGGCCGCAGCGGCTGCCAGGTTGCTGCAGCCCTGCATCCCGCCTGCACCCTGCTGCTGGGGCCTGCACCAGCCCCCCCCTTCACCGCAGCTCACCCCTCGCTCCGCGTCCTGCAGCAGGCGGTGCGCGAGCACCAGCAGGTCCATGGCATCGGCGCTGCCACCCGCCTCCCCCAGCTCAGGATCTTTGCCCGCCAGGATGGGGCCTGCACGCGGTGGAGGCGGCAGAGGTGGTGGCGACAGCGGTGACGGCGGCGGTGTTGGTGTTGGTGGTGGCGGCGGCGGTGGTGTGGTGGTGCGAAGCATGCCGGCGGGATGCCAGGACAGGCGACACGGCCCATGCCGGCGCCCCACCCGCCAGCGCCCCACCCGCCACGCCACCGCCGCCCACCCCGGGGCCAGCTCACCCAGCGGGCCCAGCACCTCCGCGGTGGCCTGCTTGACGTCCGGGTGGTCGTCGAATGCCAGCTGGGTCAGCAGCGGCAGCAGCACGTTGCGCGCCTCGTCCAGGCTGCTCTCCGCGGCGGCGGCGGGGATGCTGAGGATGTAGGCCACACGCTGGCCGGGCGGGTTGCCCTCCGCCGCCCACTCCATCACCGCCTGCAGCGGCGTGAGGCCCTCATCCACCTGCTGCGGCGGGGTTGGGCAGCAAGGGCAACGGGCGCTAGCGCGTGAGGGCTGGCAGGTGGGGCGGCGGGTAGGCGGCAGCAGCGGCGGCGCTAGGCAGGGCACGGCAGCAACCCCTCCATGTGCGGCGAGTTGCCAGCCCGTGGCTGGCATCTCCATCTTGCCTGGAACACCTGCGGCGGCAGGGAGTCCTCGGCGGGAAAAGCCTCCTCCGTTTCTGCCATTGCCGCTGGGCGGCCCGCACACACGCTCCCGACCCAAGCCAGGCCCTTGTTGCACCCAGCACTCTACTCAGTTGTTTAATCAGCAATCCCCCAGCATCCAATGTCCCTGCCATCTCGCTCAGCAGTTTTCTTTTCCTGCTGCGCAAGCTATCGCGTGCCCAAGCGGAGAGGCAGCGTCCAGGGCCCAAGCTATCCTTCAATCACAGCCTCCTCCCAAGCGCGGAGGCAGCCACAGCTGAGCGCCCTCCTCCCTCCCTTCCTTCCTGCTCCTATGTCGCCACTGGCCATGCGACCGTGCAGCGTCCACACTGTGGGCCCTGTGGGCCGCCCTGCGGCAGTGGTAGGCTGCAGGCCTGCGCGTTTCGTGTCGCCAAACCCCATTCCGCGACTGGTGCGAGCAGCTGCCGCTACAGAAGGTGAGGGTCGGGTGCAGGCATGGTTTCCGAGAGGCGGCAGGGTGCTGCGCACAAGCCAGCGAGGGCGGCCGCGGCACGGCGCCGTCGCCGCCGACTGCCGACCGCCTGCGCCACCCTCTGTATCCGTGTGGGAGATGCATCTGCTTTCGTGCCGCCTCCTTGCTCCGCACAGGCAAGACGAAGGCGGCGCCACCGGCCCCGCCCATCACGCTCTCTGACGCGGCGCTGGCCCACCTGAAGAAGCTGCGGGAGGACAGCGGCGACAAGCAGCTGCTGCTGCGCATGGGCGTCAAGTCGGGCGGCTGCAGCGGCATGTCCTGTGAGGGCGTGGCCAGCAGGATGGCTGGGACAGGGTGCTGCTGCACTTCCTCAACCCATCAATCAGGCTTCATTGCGCTGCGCTTGGGCTGCTTCGCGCCACGCCGACGCACGCCCCATCACGCCTCCCTCCCTGCCCCGGCCGCCACACAGACGTGATGGACTTTGAGAAGGCGGAGAATGTGAAGAAGGACGATGCGGTGATGGAGTACGACGACGGCGCCTTCAAGCTCGTCTGCGACTCCAAGAGCTTGCTCTACCTCTTTGGCCTGCGCCTGGACTACTCCAGCGCGTTAGGTGAGCCCTGCCATCGCGCCCAGCATTGACCGGGCAACATGTCTTGACCAGTGTGTGCAGCTCCCTGCCTGGGTCCAACTCCCTGCCTGGCCTGGATGCCTGCCTGCAGTCGGAGGCGGCTTCCAATTCCGTGAGTGAAGTCATCATTGTGTCGCATGTTTCCTGTCACCACACAGAGCGATGCCCTGTGCCCCACCTACATGCACTCGTTCTAAGCCTGCTGCCTCCTCCCTCCACTGTGCAGTGAATCCAAACTCTACGGCTGAGTGCGGATGGTGAGTTTTGGGCAGCACGTGCCTGCGGGAATGCCACACGGCCGGTTGGGCTGGGGGCCATGTTGTGGCTGCCAGGCATGTGACTGCATGTGACAGTACTTCACTAAAGTCCTGGCCTGGCGTGATACACAGACTCCATTCTATCCCTGCTTTTTGCAGCGGCAAGTCATTTGGAGTGTGAGCTTCATGGCTGCCGGCGAGCCCCAAGTCGAGCAGCTGGCGCCGCCCCCCCGTCAACAGGTGTCCCCTACTACGAACGAACATGCGGCACAGCCCCATCTGCGCCTTCAATCTACTCTCTCCCCCGTTGCCTGTATTTGTTTCGGTTCATCAGAGCACTTTGATCATATTGACTACTCCCCGCTGTAGCATAGCACGAGCACTGTGCGAGGTCTAGCACATCGCAACGCAGATGCAGGCGGCAAAAGGGCAGCCTCAGTCGTGCTACGATCCGTTGAGGTGAAGTTAGTATACAGAGAGGCTGGGAAGACTACAAAACGACTAAGAAAACGCAAAGAGTCCCGAGAGAACAGGCATCGGGGTCAGCTGGCCAGCTGGTATTCTCCGGTGCCGCCATCTAAGCGGTACCAGAGGCCGCTGCTGGCATCCCCAAACAGGCTGCGCGACGAGTCGTAGTAGCAACCGAGGGACGAGTTGTAGAGCAGCCCGGTGGCGCTGTCCAGCACAAAACCATCCAGCTCGTCGCCGGGCGGCGGCAACCCGCCACCAGAGGCACCGGGGGCTGCTGCCGCCGCGCCCTCGTGCTGCTGGTCCTGCATGCTGACGTCCCCAGATGCGTCGCGCTGGGGGGCTGCCCCGTGATCCTGGGTCCCCGCAGGCTGCTGCGCTGCAGCAGAAGGGCCGGCGCCTTGGGGCTGCTGCTGCCTGGCGGGCGGAGGTGGGCTGTGCTGCCCGGCACCGCCAGCAGGAGGTGCCTGCGGTGGATCCTCACCAAAGATGTCCCGCTCAGCATCCGCTACCGCCCGAACCTGGTGCCGCACAGCCGCGGCCGCTGCCTCCTCGCCATCCACGCCGCTGGCAGACCCATTCTTGCCGCCGCCAGCCCCCGACCCCGCAGCTGCAGCAAGCAGCCGTTCCGCCAGCTGCTGCCCCGCATCTGCGCTGGCTGTGCCATTGGCAGCAACCAGGGCCCCTTCCCCAACGCTGCCAGCAGCAGCAGGGCCGCCGCCGCCACTGCCGCCGCCACTGCCGCCGCCACTGTCGCCGGCGATGCTGCTTTCCAGCTGCTCCCGCGTCATGCTGTGCACGCTGTACACGCCCTGCTCCATCAACACGCTGCTCAGCTCTGTCAGCTGCTCAAACCGCTCCCGAACCGTGGGCGGCATGGCCTGCACGGCACAGATGGTTGGCCAACACATCAGCACAAGTTGGATGCCTCAGGCAGCACATGGAGGTAGGCAAGCCACGGCAGCAGCAGCAGCAAGCAGGCTGAGCCCTGCCCGGGGGCACTCAGCCCTGCCTTTGCACCGCGCCCCACCTGGTTGCCCAAGGCTCGAGGGTGGCGGGTGAGTGGGTCGCCGGCCGGGGTGGCCGGCCCACCCGCGGCGCCGCCGCCGCCAAGCTGGCGCACGCGGGCCAGCCGGCGGAGCGCCTGCAGCACGTTCTCCCCGGGGAGCAGCATGTCCACAATCCTGCGCTTGTGGCTGCGGATCTGCTCCGGCGCCAGGTCTGGCTCCTCCGCTCCCGCCGCCCCCACATCTGCCGCAGCCCTGCTGCGCCCCCGCATCACTCGTCTCAGCCACTCCTCGTCCACCTCCACATCTGCACACCAGCAGAAGCGAGTCGAGCAAGAGTGGCAGGGGTCAAGGAGGCGGGAGCGAGGCGCGCAATGGCCCCTCCACCGCTGGCTCTACAGAAGGGGCATGGGCTAGAAAGCCAAGCGACGCTATAGAGGCCAGCAAGTGCGCCGCACAGCAACCGACACCGCTGTGCAAGCCAGAGCGGCAGGTGTGGCAGCTGGGCAGCCCACGCACTGGCCAGCCCGTCGGCCCAGGCGTCTTCCACATCGTCGCTCTTGAATTCAACGTAGTTGCCGTCCTGCAGGGCAGGTGGTGGGCAGGCAAGCAGGCAAGCAGGCAGGTGCAGGATGCTCAGTTGGATGCCAGATTTGCTGGGAGCGGTGGGTGTCGCGACATGCCAAGCTGGCACCGGTGCAGCGTGCAGATGCGATGGCGTTGGGGGGGCGCTAGGGCGGGTGCAAGGCGGGCACCTCATCAAAGTATCCCTCTTCGCGCTCCCGTTTCAGGTGAAAGGGCTCAAAAGCCATGCCCGCATCATTGAACCTGCAAGCAGGATCAGGGCAGGGCAGGGTGAGGGGACCAGGATGGGCGGGCGCTCGGAAAACAACACTAGAGCAGCTTGCTCACATCTCCTCGGGGTCTTCATAGTCTTCCTCCGCGCCCTCGATATCTCCCATATAGACTCCGCCCTCCTCAAAGTCAGCCAGCAGCTGGTGCCTGCGGGCGGCCGCACGCCGTGCCGCGGCCACGCCAGCCTCCATGCCGTCACTGCCCAGGCGCACGCCGCTGATCTCGCCTGCGCATTGCAAAGTTCAACAAAAATGAGCAAGGGGTAAACAGGGCGGCGAAATGGGCAGGGCAGATGGAAGAGAAAGTGGTGCCGCCGCACCAGGGCGGCGGGACTGAGGGCCCAGGGCGGCGCGCTCACACAACGCGAACAATGTCTCGGGGGTCTCCTTACCCTCCAAGGCTTGCATGGGGTCTATTGCGACGCGCTTGGCGGCTGGTGCGGCAGCGAATTCGCGCACAGAGGGGGGGTCCTCACTGAAACGCACAGTTCTCTTGCGTTTGCCTCCATCTTCCGGGGTTGAATCCATGGTTGCACGCGATGGACTGGTGGGCGCTGCGTGGGGAGGAGTTTTCGGCTTCGCGCCCGCCAGCTAGGCACTGGCGACACCCATGGTTTGAGGATCGCTCTAAAAGCTCTCCCTCCATCGCAGAACACTGATAGACGCGATCCATTGCCATCGGGAGCACTTCAAAGCAGCGTATGCGCTGTACTCGGCCAAACACTACCCTCCCAACCTCCTCCCCTCTTGCTCGAGTTCAGCAGCATCCTTCCAGAATGCTCACGGCTATCAGCGCATTGCTGCACAAGCACCTCAAGCGTGGCAGCAGCAGCGGCGGCATTGGCCGGGCGGCAGCAGTGATAGCCGCCACCGCCAACGGCACCGCAGCAGACAAGCTCGCCATTGCAGATGCCGCAGGCCTGATCGGTGCGCAGTTTGCCACACCAGGCTAGCCGTGCTGCTTTTTTCCTATGCTCGCTCCGTCCTGAACCCACTGGGACCCCATCACCCTGTAGCCCGACCCCCATCGCCGACACCACCCCTCCCGTCTTGTGCAGACTTCATCTCCGCCTCGCCCCTGCTGCCCAGCTGCGGCATCAGCAAGGCGGAGGTGGCAGCAGATGTGGGGCGCTGGGTGGAGCTGGGAGACCGCGTGGCCGCCAACCTGGCCATGCCGCCACGGGAGCAGCTGGCGCCGGCGGAAAAGTGGGGCTGGCCTCGCTGCCCGCCAGGCAGCAGCTCGCCGCTTGCTGCTGTGGCCTGTGTATGTTAATGTCAGGGCTGTCGCTCACCAATCGCATCGGCCTGTGCTGACACAGACTGCCCGTAGAGAGCACAGTCAGTCGCCCATCGCCATGCATACCATCCCCCGCCGATGTGTCCCTGCTGCCGCCCACCCCTCCCCCGCAGGCGCCGCATCTTCCAGTACTACCTGCCTGTCTTCTTCTGGTGCCAGCGCCAGCTTCAGCAGCACCGCACCGCCGGCAGCGGCGGCACGCCGCTGGTCCTGGGCATCAGCGCGCCGCAGGCAAGCCAGGGCGTCTCAGCACCCAGCCCAGCGCTTGCCTCGCTTGCCTATCTGCCGTGCTGGTGCCTGCCAGCCCTGTCAGCCACATGCCGCCAGCGCCTGGCTCCCGTGCCACAAGCACGCATGCACTGGCGCTGCCTGGCTGCAGGGCTGCGGCAAGACCACGCTGTGCGAGCAGCTGGAGGCCCTGTTTGCCTACACCGGCTCCACCGCCGCCTCCATCTCCATAGACGACTTCTACCACACCTACCAGGGCCAGCAAGCGGGTGGGTGGGTGGGTGGGTGGGTGCAGGGCCGGGCCGGGCACCCGTGCGCGCCATCCATCATTGGCATGAACGGCGCATTCCAGTCCCCTGCTACAAACGCTGTTGCCTGGTGCCCTGCAGTGTCGGCGGCGCACCCCGGCAACCCGCTGCTGCAGATGCGTGGCAATGCAGGGTCCCACGACATGCAGCTTGGCACAGACACGCTGCGCGCGCTGCGAGGCGCTACGTCAGCGGGCAGCAGCGTGCCAGTCCCTCGGTGCGTGCCCTCGTGGGGAGCCATGTGCTGTGACTCGCTGCGGTGTGCCTGCCCAGCCCTCCCGCCCACTCCAACCACTCTGTGTCCTCCTCCCTCACGCCCCCATGGCAAGCAGATACGACAAGTCTGCCTACAGTGGGCAGGGCGACCGCGCCGACCCCGCCACCTGGCCCGTGGCCACCGGCCCCGTGGATGTGGTGCTGTTTGAGGGCTGGATGCTGGGCTTTGGGCCCGTGGACGACACAGCAGCAGCGGCGGTGGACCCAAACCTCGCCCCGGTGAACACCTTCCTGCGCAGGCAAGGCAGGATGAGACAGGGGTGGGAGGGAGCGACAGCAGCTTCAGCTGCAGGAGGGATGGGTGGCGGCAAGGCGCTGTGCTGTCTGCACGAGGCCGCTCTCCCTGCCTGGCGGTTCCTGACTCTGCGGCTGCACACCCAACTGCCACACCCCCCCCTGCCACCCCCACCCACCCCCCACACACCACCTGCAGCTACAAGCAGGCCTGGGATTCGTTTGTGGATGCCTGGCTGGTGGTGCGGGTGGCGCAGCCCGACTACGCCTACCGCTGGCGCCTGCAGGCGAGGCGCTGCTGCCGGGCAGTACGCACGCATCCCAGCCGCCACCCCAGCCCCTGCCACTGCAGCCAGGTGGCGCTCTCACACGTGTCGATCTCTCTGGACCTGCTCTCTGCGCGCCTCCCCCTGGCTTGCAGGCGGAGCAGGCGATGCGGGCATCCGGCAAGCCCGCAATGACCGACGAGCAGGTGGCGGCGTTTGTGGACCGCTTCATGCCCGCCTACCGCTGCTACCTGCCGGGGCTATATGCGAAAGGGCCCACCACCGCGGCACCTGGCCGACTGCTGGTGGTGGAGGTGGATGAGGGGCGGGAGCCGGTGGCGGCGCAGCCCGCGGCCATCATGTGATGGCGTTGGAGTGACACAGTTATTGTTCATTGCAGTTTTCAATTCACAATTTTCTGCACAACCAGCCACGAAATGCAAAACGAGGCTCACGGGGGACACTCACAGCTCTTCCTTGGCTGCCGCCGAGCCCTGCTGCTGCTGCTGCTGCTGCTGCTGCTGCTGCTGCTGCTGCGTCTGCTGCGTGCCAAAGTGGCGCTGGAAGGCGGCGGGCACATCATCGGGGTCGACCGCTGAATGATCGGGGGCGTCAAACTGCAGCGCCTGCACCCTGCACAACAGCAACCCAGGCAAAGCACAACCAGGGAGCATGGCCTCCGATTGAGATGCGGGCACTGCGCAAGGTGCAGGCCCCGGTCTGCTAGGTGTGCCGCCATCCAGCGCCCCGCCTGCGCCCTCATGCACCCCGCCCCACTGCAGCCACCGCCGCAGCCATGCCCTCACCGCAGCTCTGGGAAGCGCTGGTCGATGATCTGCTGCAGCAAGCGGTACACCTCGGCGTTCCCTTCGGGCGTCAGGTGCAGCCCGTCGTTCAGCAGCCTCTGCTGCCAGCCCTGCACCTGCTGGAAGGCGCGCCAGAGGTTGAGGCAAGGCAGGCCCAGCTCCGCCGCCAGCGCCTCCACCACCGCCGCATACTGCCCCGCCACCTCGTTTGTCCGCTCCGGCACCTCCAGCTTCACGCCGTAAGTCTGCACAGTGGGCAGCCAAACAGTGGAGGGGGGGCAGTGGAGTGGCGGCTGCGGCGACAAGGGCAGGCGTGCCGGCAGGGCTGGCACTGGCAAGCCGACACTGCGCAGCCACAGGAACGCATCGCAACAGGGAGAGCACCGCATGGCAGGCGGGCAGACCAGGGCTGCCCGCCGGCCCCCACCTTCTCCACATGCACGAGGCGGTCCGGCTCGGAGATGGGCGGTGGTGTGATGAGCACCACTGCAGGCACACCGATCTGCTGCAGGCGCTGCGCAATGGCGCGGATGTTGGAGCGGAACTCGTCCAGCGGCACGTGCTGGCGGGCACTGCACGGGGGTGGGGGAGGCTACGCTTGAGGGGCGGGAAGGTAGGCAGGCGCTCCTTGGCAACACAGATGATGGCACCGTGGCAACTGGCTGCTGTGTGGCCTGGTGGTGCGCCAATGCGCAAGCAGCAGCAGGCACATCTCTATACCACAGGGCTCTAAACGCGGGTCACTCACGAGCCCCGGTCTGGCAGAGCAGCGTCGTTGGCGCCAAAGAACACCGTGGCCAGGCGGGGCGGCGGCGCGGCAGCAGTGGGCTCGGGGAACACGCGGTCCAGCAGCTGCAAGGCCCAGCGCGAGTTGTAGCCGCTGTATCCGCGGTTGATTACGTCGGCCCGCCGCTGGTAGGCGTCCGCCAGCAAGCCAGTCCAGCCGGGTGCAAACCCGCGCTGCGTAATTGAGTCCCCAAACGTGACAAACTGCGGTCTCATGGCTTGGGCACGCGTGCAGGGCGCTGGGATGAGCGAAAACAGGCAAATGAAACAAATGAATTGCAACAAGCTGATCAGGACACCGATGCGTGGCATTCGATGGTGGGAGGTGGAACTCACGAAGCAAACGCTTGCTGCAGCGGCCTATGGAATTGAATGTTGTGCTATGACCTGGCATCTCACGCTGGCTGGAGTTCTCGCAGGATGCTCGTGCATGCACCATATCATCCACCCAATTCAGCCCTGATGAGAGTCATCAATCTGTAGGAAGCCCTCTGGGCTTGGTTGGGGGGCACTGCCTCGGGCGTCGAACAATGTCGCCGCATGAGACCTGTGTGGACCTGCGCGCCACCAAGGTAGGCCAGGGGCTGTGGAGCTCAATGAAATAAACGGAATCATGCCGAGAGGGTCGCTGGCGCCGGCCTCTTGGCATGTGCATGCCGCGGCAGCTTGCCGCAATGCTGACTATCTGGTGCCTTGCAGGTGTCCCCTGGGCGGTGGCATCCTGGCACAAAGCTCCTGCAAAGGACCAGCTCCCCGGTGTCGGTGCTGGACAGCCCCCAGAGCCAGCCGCCCCTACAAACCGAGCCCACCACCCCCGCCTCCCTCCGCCACCCTCACCGCCTCGCCAGCGCACAAGAACTCATTGCCCTGCTCGCCGACGCCAGCGGCCGGCAGCAGGTGCGGCAGCGCAGCCCGCTGGACCTACAGGTGACCGCGGGCGGCTGGACAGCAGAGCGGCGGGCGGCGTATCGCGAGGCTGCCGCAGGCCAGCCTGGGCTGCTGCTGCCGGAGGAGGCGCCCCAGGTGGCCAGGTTGCTGCAGCAGGAGGCGGCCGCCATCCTGCTGCTGCTGCGCACTCGACCCATCCGGTCCCTGCACTTCTGCACGCCGCCTGGCGTGGCGGTCATCAGCGGCAGGCGCACCACAGAGGCGCTCCACCGCGCACTGGCCTCGTGGGCCTTCCGCCAGCTGCAGGCCGGCTGCCTGCGCGAGCTGGCGGTGCACGACTGGCTGGCCACCCGGGAGTGCTGCCAGGCGCTGCCGGCGCTGGCGGGCAGCCTCAGGCGCCTGCTGCTCAGCGGCTGCCGCAGCCGGGTGGACCTGGCGCCGCTGGCACAGCTGCATGCACTGGAGGATCTGGTGCTGCAGACCGATGCCGCCCCCGACCTGGCATCGCTGCCGGCAGGGCTGCGCCGGCTGGAGCTGGAGGTGGCTGGCCTGGGGACACGGTGAGTTGAGTTGATTGAGAAGTGAGGCTCATAGCTGCGCCTGGAGGCGAGGGTTGCCTCGCTTGGTTGCGCCGCGCTGCTGGAACCCGTGTGCCATCTCGGCTGCTTGGCCTGGCCGCCTGCAGGGCGCACCTGCCTGGCCATCTGCGCCTGGAGCTCCTGCGGGTGGCGTGTCCCGGTGGGCGCGTGTTCCTGGACGCACCTACTGTGATGCAGCAGTGCAGGGAGGTGCAGCTGGAGTGCGGCACGGCGCTGTTCATGGGACTGGTGAGCGAGTGAGGCAAACTCAGGGGCACCGGTGTGCCATGGTCATCTAGCTGCAGCGCCCTTGCAGTGGTGCCAGCCGTTCACCAGCCGCCAGCCTGCCTAGCCCTGCTGATGACTGTGCCCGCCCACCTCCCTGGCGCCGCCATCGCTCCCTCTCCAATACAGCTGGACACTGACGCATGTAGCGGCAGGAGCCTGGTGCGGATCGGAGCCGCCGCCCTGCTGGCCGCCTTCTACCGCCTGCCCGTGCAGCAGGTACGGGTGCAGGCCAGCGGGCTGGCATTCAGCCGGCCAGCGGCCGTCTCCCGACTGGCGCGCCCATCGCAGCAGCAGCCCTGTTGGCCCCACCAGCTACGCTACGTGCAAAGCGCCAGCCTCGGCAGCCTGCTAGATGCAGCGCTGCCCTACTGGCAGCAGGTGGAGGCGGTGCGGATGCAGCACCAGCGCGCCGAGGCTCCTGTTGTGCAGCAGGCAGCTGGGTGTGGGGTACAGCTCAGCAAGCGCGACAGCCTGCGCGGCGCCTACAGGCTGCCGCCGCTGGGGCAGCTGGGCGCGGCCGACCTCCACTTCCTGGCGGCTCTGGCTGTGCCCACAGGTGGGCTGAGGCATGCCGCACGTGGTTGTGCGGCTGTGTGCTGTGAGGCTCCCGACCAATTCACGGGGGGATGAACCTTCTGTTGACCAACGCTGCGAGCTGTGCACGCCTCTTCCCTATGCAGAGCTGCGGTTTCATCCTGGCTGCCTAAAGGAGCACCAGCACAGCCTGCTGAGCAACCGCACATTCCAGCTGCGCGCCGCGCCCCACCTGCGTCACCTGCACAACATTCAGCTGCACGAGGGCTCAGACCTGTCCATGCTGCAGCTCGACAGCTTGAGCGGGGACTGGAGCAGCGGCTGCTGCCCGCCAACCTGGCCGCTTCCTGCCGGCGTACGGGAGGTTGTGCTCACCGGTAAGGCTTGGTACCGGCGCCCGCCCCTCGCATGCACATTGCTGGATATCAAGTCATCAGATGACTTGATACAATACCATGGGTGAAACCTTCCGCCCCCGCCCGCACCCCATGGCTGTGCAGCCGGCAGCCCAGGCACCACCCTGGATGGCACCAGCCTGCTGGCGGGGCTATCAGGCAGCCTGACAGCCCGCGGGTTTGCAGCAGTGTGTCTTCCACCCAGCAGCCACCCATTGCAGCTGGAGCTGCAGCTCAGCGGCGGCATTGTGAGCGATGCCACCCTGCACCTGGGAGGGCGAGCAGACCGCCTGTTCCTGCGAGTGGCGGCGGCAGCGCAGGGAGGCTGCACATGGATAGATGCCGGCGGTGCCTGGCTGGGACAGGCTGGGCTGGCCGTCATTGATCTGCAGCCCACTGGAGTGCGCAGCGCCGGCAGCGCCGGCAGCTGCCGCACTGGCACCCCGGTTGTGAGTGAGCTGGCATTCCCTGGGCGGTGTCTGGCTGACCTGTTTCGGGGGGCGCTGCGCTCCGCAGCAGCTGGCGGGCTGCGCCGCCTTGAGTTGGTGTGCGGCAGCGGGATGCAGCACTTTGGCTGCACCAGTCTGCGACTGGTTGCATACAGCAGCAGCTCCAGGCGCTGCTTCAGCCTGAAGGACCTGCGCCGCCTGCCGCCGGCCCAGCTGGGCGGCTGGCAGCTGCACATTGCTGCCGAGCCGTGGCGTGTGTGCCTGACATTCCTGGAGCCTTGAAGCATACCTGCCATCCCTTGTTGCATTTCTCATCTCATTCAAAATGCCGCATTTGTGTGTGGCACAGCCGCAATGGCCTTCTGGCCGCCTCAGCCTGAATTCCTTGTCCTGTCGGCAGCACTGCCCATTTTTTCACCAGCTTGTACAAATCACCTGCAAATACTTTGAATTCCCATACTGTTTGGTTTGTTTTAGCACAAAGCTGTCTCCCTGCAAAACTTGTGTTCAAGGCTTGCCCAAAACTGACCAGTCCGTTCTTACAGATTGTTGCCCCTAAAACGTGGACCCAGCACATTTGCTAATTCAGTTTCCAGGATAAACACCCATGTAAATATGAAAATGACTAGGGAGAGTAGACGAATGAGAAACAAACGCCGCTGGAGCGCAGCACTACGGGGCGGCGGCGATACACTTCCGCCCTCTGCTTTTTCGCATGCTGGAACCTTCCTGCTGGGAATGGCGTCGGACCTTATCAGCCTCCGTTGTTGCTCAAGGCTTCCCTCTCTCTCCCGATCCCTGGAATCTGCAGTCACCATGGCGGGTGCCCCGGAGGTGAGCAGGAACTGCGCCTTGAGGGCCTCGCAAGAAGGCGCTCCTGCTTGGCACACGTCATGACGGCAGGTCCATCCCAGTGCCGCTTCTGCTGCCACCCCCTCCCCGCCCCCGCAGGCGCCGCCAGCGCTAGGTGTGGGGGCTGGGCTTGAGTTCCAGTACGAGGAAGGCAGCCCGTGGCTATCATTCGAGGTGGCAGAGGTGCACGACAGCAATGAGTACACAATCACATGGCTGCGGGATGATGATGAGGATGTGGAGGAGGCCGCGCCGCACCAGCTGCGGGTTTGCATCCAGAACGACAGCACGCTGCAGGTGCTGAACAGCGACGAGGTCAGCACCCACCAGTGGCGCCCCGAGGCCACCTCCTTGCAGCAGCTGATGGAGCGGACTTTCCTCGACATGATGGCAGGGCAGCAGACCAGGGGGCCCGTCGCCATGCCTAGCCCCACTCAGCTGGCTGCGACGTCAGAGGCACTACTGAAGGAAGTGGTGACCCGCGCTGTGGGCCGCGCGCAATGGGCGGGCACACATGAGGTTACAGCTGAAATGGCGCAGGCGGCCGTAGCAAGCGTGTCGCGAGATCTGGGCGGGCCGCCACCGCCCTAAGTCACAGGCGTTTGCTGTCTTTGACGTGTATTTTGAGTCGAATTATTGCTCCCAGCCCTGGATGTATCTTTTTGGAATGTATTATTCAAGAAGCGCTCCATAGCAGACCAGCTCAGCGCAGGCTGGCCCAAGTTGAGGCCAAGTGCTGGCGAGCGGCGATATGGTTGCTTCCGTACTGCGGAGGCGGTACGGAAGCGGGGCCATGTACTGACTTCCCCTTGCATTCTCGCATCCGATTAAACCTGCACCCACCTCGTCTCGCTTCCGCACACACACAGACATGGGGGCAGCCCTGAGCTCGCAGGGCTACGATGGCCAGTCGCAGCTGGGTGCAAAGCTGGCCTCAAAGCAGCCTCTGCTCGTGGCTTTCATGTCACCACAGTGCGGCCTGTGTGCCTCGCTGCGCCCAGCTCTGACGGAGGTGACGCGGCAGGTCGGGGCGCGGGGGCGGGCGCCGCTTGCTTGGCGCCTGTGGGTTTGAGAAGCCCCATTCACTATGTGTGTGTCATTTATGTGTGTGCAGATGGCCTCCAGCGGCAGCAACTGTAGGACGCAAGTTGCGTTTCTGAATGCGCAGCAGGACAAGCTGTGGGCGCCAGAGGTGGGGGCTGAACGTCATAGCGAAATGCCCCTGTTTGTTGGGACTGTCTACCCGATTTTGCCCATGCACTGTTGACCCCTGCAGATGCTGGCGTTCAGCATAGAGACGGTGCCCTGCTTTGTGCTGCTCGACAGCTCTGGCCGCGCCGTCTGCAAGACGCCACCACCGCGTGGCCGGCAGCAGATGGAGGCTGCCCTGCGGGAGATGGCGGAGCATGCCGACACATTGGCGCGACGCTGATGCTGCTGACCTCCGTAATCCTGAGCTCACTGCTTTAGTCCCCTCCCAAACTTCCCCAAATGGGATATGTAGGGCAAAGGTGGGGTAGGCATTGCATGTATCGAGTGCAAGAGCCTTTGCCAGGTCATGCGAGTGTTGGGGCCAACCACTGTTTGTAAGGATGCACACCCAAATCCCCGCTGCTTGTGAATGCTGCTCTGCAGGTGTCCCTTGCCCATACACCAGTTTCAAGCAGAGGCGGGGCACCAGTGCTGTTTGTTCTTCTCGAGCATTGCTTGTATATTAGGCCGGAGTGCAACCACAGCTTTTAGAGGCTTTCAGACATTGTGTGCCTGCCACTGACGCCTCCAGCTGCCCAGCAAGAATGCGCAGTGGCACAGTATGTTACAGAGGGAGATGAAGCCGGCACCGGGGAGAGCGCCTGATGAGAAGGTCGCTGCCACCCATCTGGGGACACCTGCCCGTCGCCTGCCTGCCTCACGACTTGCCCGCGTCACCAAACTCTGCCGAGTAGGCCAGGTGCCCCTCCAGCTTCTTAGCCTCCCCAAGCTTGCGCACCGCCTTCATGAAGTCCTCCTGCAGCCAGGGTGAAGGCCAGGAGGGCGGGGCAGGCGGCCAAATGTCAGCTGTGAATCGGCCCAGACACACCAACGAAGCATCCTTGCTCAAACGTGCACCATGACTTGGCTTCCGCAACTTGCCTGCGTTACGTAATCGCGCTCATCACGGATCGCAAACATGCCTGGAGAGGAGGGCGGTAATTGGAAGGGGAGTTTCCTCGGGAGGGATGCAGAGGGACAGCAGCCAGCCAGCAGGGCCGGGACAGGCGGTAGCTGCCACCCTATTCCCTGTTGCTGCCCGAAGGGTATGTCTGTCCCCCACCAGGCGCCCCTCGCCTCACCGGCCTCTGTGCAGACATTGCGCAGGTCGGCGCCGTTGAAGTTGTCCCCCAGCTTCACCACTGCCTCGTAGTCGATGTCGCCGTGCTTGGTGATCTTGCTGGCGTGGATCTTCAGGATCTCCATGCGCGCCTGCAGGGCGGTGGCAGGGAGGCGCAGGGTCGCACGCGGTGGACCAGATGGATGGATGGATGGCCGCAGCGGTCCCGGGCGGAGTGTGGCGCGCAGCGCATGCACATGTTGAGGAACCAGCCGAGCTGCCGGCGGCAGCAGCGCGGGCAGCAGGCAGATATGCTGCTGGCAGCCCGCCGCCGCGCTCCCGCCGCCCCACCTGCTCGTTGGGCAGCGGGATCTCGATCTTGCGGTCTAGCCGGCCTGGCCGCATGAGGGCAGGGTCCAGCACGTCGGGGCGGTTGGTGGCCGCCACCAGCTTCACCTTGCCCAGCTTCTCAAACCCGTCCAGCTGGGACAGCAGCTCCATCAGCGTGCGTTGCACCTGCAGCCCGGGAGAGGGCAGGAGGGCAGCCATCCAAAACAACGGTCGGCCGCTGCTTCGTGGTGCGGCAGCAGAACAGCGGGGCAGCTTGCGGCTGCAGCCACGCCAGCGTGCCCCACCCCACCTCTCGATCCGCGCTGGTGCCCTCGCTGAAGCGCTTGCCGCCAATGGCATCGATCTCATCCATGAAGATGATGCAGGGCTGGTGCTCCCGTGCATACCTGCAGCCAGAACCGGCACACCAGGGTCGGCACGCGGGGTGCAGCGGGCAGGGAGCGACCGCAAGGCGCACCCCGCGCCACCACCCTCTGCAGCCCTGCCTCCCTGCTGCCGCCGCTGCCGCCGCCAATCGCACCCAAACATTTCGCGGATCACTCGCGCCGACTCGCCGATGTACTTGTCCACCACGCCCGAGGCCACCACCTGCAGGGGCAGGGCAGCGGGGCAGCGGGGCAGGGCTGCATCAATCAACATGGCCTCGCTCGTCCTCTCCCGCTTGCCCACAGCCCTCCATGTGCCGCCACAATCAGGCGGGCTGCTGTGTGGGAAAAGCGGCAGCAGGGCTTGCCTTGAGGAAGTTTGCTTCTATGTTGGAGGCGATGGCCTTGGCCAGCAGCGTCTTGCCGGTGCCGGGCGGCCCGTACAGCAGCACCCCCGTGGGCGGCTTGATGCCCACCCGCGCAAATAGCTCCGGGTTGATCAGCGGCAGCTCCACAGCCTCGCGCAGCTCGCTGCGGGCCGGCAGAACATGGTGGGCGCAGGCAGGTTAGTGGGCGAGCGGCCTGCTACACAGGCAAGCGGACAGGCAGCCAGCACATCCGATGCACCCAAGATCGGCAAGCGGCGGCAGTAGCAACGCAGCAGGCACCAAAGCTGGCGCTGCGGCTTGCCCGCACGCAGCAGCAGCTGCCTCTTTTGCCATCGGTACCATGGCAGCAGCAGCAGCACACAGCAGGAGGAGGACGTGAGCCCCTGCCCCCAGCCCCAGCCCCAGGCCCCAGCCACCCACCGGATCTGCTCCGACAGGCCCCCGATGGATGAGTAGTCCACCTTGCCAGGGTCCTCCTGCGTCATGTTGAACACCACGGGGTCCACCTCGCGCGGCAGGATGCGCATGATGGTGAGCGTGGTGACGTCCAGCGCCACGCGCGTGTTGGGCGTCAGCTTCTCCTTGTCCACCTTGCTGCGGCAGCCCACCACGTAGCGCGGGCCGCTGCTCGACTTGACGATGACTGCGCGGCGGGCGGCGGCGGAGGCAGGGGCGGGGCGACGTGAGTGGCAGGGCGAGGTAGGGCACCAGCCGTTGTGTTGAGCGCTGCCTGTGGCGGGCGGCGGGTCGGGAGACCCAGCCAGGCAAGGCCTCTCTCCCTGCTGCCTGGCACGTTCCCCGATCCCCTCCCATGCTACTGATGGCCTCCAGGCCAGCAGCAGGCACTCACAGCGCTCCTCGTCCAACTGCCTGAGGACCTCCCCGATGATCTGCCCCACGCTCTGCAGCGCCTTCAAATCGTCTTCTGTCTTGTCATACTCCTTCTTGGAGGTCTTCACGTCCTCTCGCAGCGCCCTCACTTTGCTATCCACCTCCTTGTGCTGCAAAAGTTTGCGCTTGTAGTCCTCCAGCGCCTTGTCCCGCGGGTCCTGCTCGGCCGACATGGCCGCAGGACCTGATCACTGCCGCCGCACTGCAAGCTGACCAATGTGCGCGGTGATCAGAGGAGGTATTGTTCAACAACAAGGGGATGGGCGAAGTAGAAATGAGTTGCAGCGATGGGCTCGCGAGGCGGATGGAGCCAGAGTATTGCAGCGGCGGTGCAGTACAGACGGCGGCGGCACGGCGAGTGATCGGTTCCATCAGCTTGGGCAGCATGCATTGGTTGACATGACTAGCGTCAGCATGATGCCCACGGTTGTGGTTCAGTGCTGCACTGCGCAGCAGCATCCTGTTGGGGCGGGCTCCAAACCACGGCTCTTCTCCAGGCCATTCTACTGTTGCGCTCACGGTTTACATTGCTAGGCGTTCACCTACTAGCAGAAAGAGGAAGGCACCAGAACAAAGCAAAGCAGCTTACGAACCTGGAATAAAGCGAAAGCTGCTACCAGCTACGGACAGCAATGCGCCCCAATAAATGTCGGTCCTCAGGGTGCATTTGGCTGCTCAAGCAGCCAAGCGACACAAGTCAGACGGCAGCCTCGCCCTTGCCAAACGGACTGCCAAAAGGCATGGGTGCCGCAGAGAAGCGGGGTGTGGCGGTGCTGCGCGGCGTGCCGCTGCCATATGCCGACACTTCCTCGTCACCCGAATGCATGGGCCCCGCCTTGGCCGTGATGCTCAGGCCCTTGGCAGGGGGCGAAGCCTGCAGCGCAGCACACCATGCCGCCTCCTCATTCGGTGAGCAGCCATCATTCTAGAAAGTAAATGGCATACAGGCAGGGCTGCTCCTGCTGACGCTGTGGACCTCCTGGCCTCCTGCCAAAGCGGGGCCCACCTTGAGCTTGGCAGGCAGCTCCCTGTTGGCAGACAACGTGCTAACCGGCAGGTCGGACTTGTGGCACCTGCCTGTTGCTGCCTTGGCCCGGGACCGCATCAGCTGGTACACCACGGCCGAGGCGCAGACCACCACAGCGCCGCCCACGGCAGCACCCACCGCCGCCCCCACGGTGGCCTTGTTGTTGCTGGGCGCGGCGCTCACCACATCTGGCTGGGGCGAGCTGCCGCCATCTGTCACCTGTACGCCGACTGCCAGCTGCACGCCAAGGGCCTGCAGCTTGGAGGCCAGGCGGCCATCCTGCATTGCGGCTGCCAGAGCGCTGGCCACCTGAGCCTCCGTGTGTGCGGCAGGGCGGATCACCACCACAACGTGGAGGTAGCCTGCAGGGAAGGGTGGTGTTCAGAAATGATGCGCCTGTGGCTGGGGGCCTCCGACATACACCATTGCACCATTGAGATGCTCGCAGCCCCACCTGTGGATGTGGATGTCAGCGTGCGGGTGCTGGCGGCGGCCGCTGTCGCCTCTGTCACTGACGCGAGGGTGCACGTGCCGGGAGCTTCGCCTGCCAGCTGGGCCACAGCGCTGCACACCGCCTCTGCCTGGCCAACAAAGCTGCTCAGCTGGGCCTGCACATCAAAGCTGAAGCGCACACCTGCCAGCGGCTGCACATCCGCCACTGGGCTCGTGCCAGCCAGGGAGGTGGTGGGCACCGGGCTGCTGTTGGCCAAGCTGTCGCTGGATACAGCTGTGGCGGGTGAGGCAGTGGGTGGGGCGGCAGCTGGGCTGGCAGCCGAGCTGGCAGGCACGGGAGACGCCTGGCCACCGCTGCCGCTATCCTGCTGGGGGCAGTAGAAGGACTGCATCGCCAGGTCGAACTGCTTGATCACTGTGCAGGCGCCCGTTTGGGGATCTTTGCAGAAGCCGTTGAGCGCCGTGTGCTGGTTGATGCAGGAGCACGAGCAGTTAGCAGCGCTCCAAGTGCCCTGAAGGCAGGCGGCAGCTGGTACCATGCTCAAACTCAAAACATGGCCCCTCAAGCCATCCCCAGGTCACCTGCAGCGGCCCCACCTGGACGCATCCGCCAGCAGGCGGCAGGCAGAAGCTGCCGCTGGGGAAAATCATGTCCGTGGGGGTTGGACAGCTCAGGTTGTACTGGGAAGCCGGCACTGGGTTGGTCATCCAGCGCAGCACCTACTCGAGCAGGACAGCAGGGGGCATCCATCAGCATAGGGCAGCCCTCCCACCCTGCATCATGCTTGATTGCACCAGTGCCGCTGCGCACCTCCGAGATGGTGACGACCCATGTGTTTGGGAGCGAGAGCGCATAGGCGAAGAAGGCGGCATACTGGTCAGCGACCTCCTGGGAGCCGATGAGGCGGGCGGCGTGCAGGAAGAGGGCCACAGGCGCACGGTTGCCGCTGTAGGTCCTGCGCAGCTCCCGCATGTACATCTCTGCTTCCAGGGAGCCGCATCAGGCGCTGCAGCCTGTCAGAAACATGTGTCCGTGTGCGACAATCGCCGGCGAAACAAACCCAGGGCCGCCAGCACCAAGCATGAGCGGCATGACCGAATGTGCCATCCACCCACCCACCAGTGATGTTGCCCACGGGATCCATTGAGGCCACCACATTGCCGTCATCATCCTGCATGTTCCACAGAGGGAACTCCCACAGGCCCGGGTTTGACTCGCTCAGGCTGCAAGATCCGGTGCCGATGGTGCAGTCCTGTGGCAGCAGCAGCACCAGGAGCAGCAACACAACATGTCAATGTGCAGTGCCTGGTGCCGGGTCATGTGGGGCCGGTGCATTCCCTGCCGTTGTGGTGAGCTGCGCCGCCCAGATGACAGCCCACTCTAATCCAATGCCACTGCTGCTCACGATGGGGATGCCGTAATCCATAGTGAAGGGCCAGACTTGGTGGGCGCCGTCAGGGGAGAAGGCGCCAGGGCCCCAGGTCTGTCAGAGGGGCAGGAAGTTGGGGATGGTTCGGTTGTGCATTGCACTGGTGGGCGCAGACCGCTTGCATCAAACATTGCACCCGTCCAGCGCATTGTGCATGCAGGAGGGCAGCCTGGCTCACGCTGGTGATGGTGCTGTCATACAGAAAGCCGCTGGCCGCCAGGATGCTGCGCTGCTCCTCATTGTGCAGCAGGAAGGGTCCGCGGAAGCCACGAATTTTCTCGAGGGGCACCAGTGCAGTCTGCGCTTGGCCACAGGCAAGGGTGGTGAGAGTGGGACGACTGCAACATGTATCGAGGACGCAGATGCATGCTGACAGACAGACAGACAGCTGAGGTGCTGCTGGCACAATTGCGCGGCCCACCTCATTCAGCCACTTGCGGGCGCCCACAATCTGTGAGGCGTTGGCGTTGCCAATGTGGTCGAGGGTGTGCGTTGCAATCTCATGGCCCCCCATGTAGAGCTTCTGCACACGGTGCAGTGGTACAGGGTCGGTATAGGTGCTGGCCTTGTCCACGCTGCAGGGGTATAGTGGCTCTTCACCTGCACATTCACAGGCACGGCGAGAGGAAGTGAAGCAGCAGCAGTTGTGACCTCCCTTACCTGCACATACTCGGGCTGCGTGTAAGCCACGGAGATGAACCAGGTGGCGGGCAGCGGGCAGCCATTTCTGTTTTTGAATCGCTCGGTCACCGCCAGCACGGCGGGCACAGTCATGACCGTGGCAGCGTCATCATTGGTCTGCATACAGGCACGGTCAGCATCACGGTGATGTTTGTGGCAGGCGAGCGGACAAGGAGTGCAGCCTCACCAGCACGATGAATTGGGGTGTATCGGCAGGCGCCAGTAAAGGCTCCGTGGAGGCGCACATGCAGCTGGGAGGCTGGCATGCGGTGGCAGGGCAGTCTGCGGGGCAGGGCAGCATGTCACATACCACGGTAGTGTGGTGGCGGTGGGGGCGGTAGTTGGCAGGTGGTTCAAGCCCGGGGCCTCGGCGGCCTGCCGTTCCACCCACCGTACTGCGCATCGGCTACAAGGTAGAAGACGGCAAGGACGGCAGCCAAAACACGCAGCGAACGACCGATGGGCATGTTTGTGATGGCGCTTCCGGAAGTTGTGACCAGCCCCAGCCGACTGGAAGGCGATAGTTGGTGTCCGATGAGAAAGGGCAATGCGAGTTTCCCTGCCTAATTGGAGTCCAAGGGTCCTGGTGCACTACAATTCTGTACAATCACGCTGGCGGCCTCACGCGTCTCCCACAGCGTCGCAGGCCTCAGTTCACCCACCCCTCCCCCTCTCCCGACCCATATCATCAAGCCGCACACAGAGAGGGGCACAAGCAGGCCCTGACGAGGGCCTACGCCCACCTGCGGGCGCCCTCTGTGGCTCTAGCGCACTGTTACTAGCTTACCAGGTCTCGTGACCACCCGGGGACACCACACACCTCGGTTCCGACAGCATGTGTGCGGATTCGGAGTGTCTCCCGCCCCAAACCGGCCCGACAGTGGCCTTCATGGATATGCCGGACGAGGTGGGCAAGCCGGAGAGTGCCGCCAGCCGCTCTCACGCTGCTCAGCGCCACCGCCACTGTCGCACATGAGCGCTTTGGCCCGACAGGTCTTCGCCCTGATTCTGCGTGGGCCCACTCTGGCATGCCCCTCACACACCGCTCGCCCATGGCGCGGTGCAGGTGCTGGCGCTGACGGCCTCGCTGGGCCTGAGCAGCTGCGACATGGCCAACTTTGCTTTAGCCAGCAAGCGGTGCGCCGCGGTGTGCAAGGCGGCACCGCTGCGCCTCGCCGTGGCGGTGCAGCCCTCGGAATCGCCCAGCGAGGAGCAGACGGCCGCGCGCGCCACGCTGCAGGCGCTGTGCGCGAGCTGCCCAGGTGCGCAGCATGTTTGCCGCCGCTGGAGCCTGCTCACGGCTCCATTGCTCATTGCCCGGCATGGCTCGCACCTGGTCAACCCCGTCCCTCTGTTCTGTGCAGGCACCGCCGAGCTGGACCTGCGCGGCAGCCCGCTGGAGGATCAGGATGTGCAGGCCGCGCTGGCCAGCCTGCCGGGCCTAGAGCTGCTGCAGCTGTCGGGGTGCAAGAAGCTGTCGGCGGGGCTGCCTGCCGCGCTGGCGCAGGCGCCGCCGCACCCGCAGCTGCGCTCGCTCACCCTGCAGCGCTGCTTCCAGCTCACGGCGGCGGCCCTCACAGATGTGATGGCTGCGGCTGCCAGGCCGGGTTCCAGGCTGAGCAGCGCCGCGCTCAGCCACCTATCGCTGGCGGGGTGGCCAGAGGAGAGCGGCGGCGCGGCGCTGCCGCGCAGCCGGCTGCGCATGCTGGCGCTGCACAACTGCGGCAAGCTGAGCGGGGCGGCTTTGCAGGCGATTGCGGCGTCCTGCCCCCAGCTGGAAGTGCTGATGCTGGGCGGCGCCTCGTTTGTGGTGGAGGAGGAGACGGCGGCCGCCGCCGAGGGCGGCGAAGCTGGCAGGTTGCCCGCAGACCCTGCCCTGCCCTGCCCCTGCGGCGAGGCGGCGCACCTGTATCAGCAGGCGCTGGATGCGGTGCTAGAGGGCGCACCGGCCCTGGGCGGCGGCTTTGGCGGCTACGTGGCGGACGTGGCGGCGCAGCTGGCGGTGATGTCCTGCCGCCTGCCCCACCTGCGCGTGCTGGAGCTGACGCATGCGCCTCTGGGCCTGGTGCCCGCCCTGCAGCGCCTGGCCGCCACAGAGGTGCGGCTGGAAGCTTGGGGTGGCGGCGACTGTCGTGAGGCTGGCTGGTGCGCCCGCCGACCTGCGCGGCCCACCTACAGGCGCAGCCAACCGACGGGCTGCTCTTTCCTCCCTGCCTGCCATGCAGCCGCTGCTGCTGGCGGGCCGGCCGGAGCCGCTGCAGGTGTGGGATCTCACCAGCGCCGCCTCGGTGGGCCGGGTACTGGAGTGGCGGCGCGAGGTGCGGCGCCGCCACCACGGCGCCGCCGCCGCCGGCTCCTCGGGCGCCATCACCCCCGCCGACGCAGCCGCCTTCCTGTGCGCCGCCGTCAACTGCTCCTCCGCGGCGCGCCAGACCGCCCTGCACGCCGCCGTCGAGGAGGCCAGCCCCCGCCAGCTGCCGGCGCTTCTGGGGCTGGGCGCCGTGGTGGACGCCCGCGACCGCAGCGGCTCCACGCCCCTGTTTGTGGCCTGCGAGGCGGGGCACCTGCGCAGCGTGGAGTGCCTGCTGGGGGCGGGGGCCAGCGCCACGCTCAAAAACAGCGCGGGGGAAGCCCCCCTCCTCATCGCGGCGCTCAAGGGGCACGAGCGGGTGGTGGACCTGCTGCTGCAGCACTGCCACGAACGCCGCATCGGCTGGCGGGCCCACCGCGACGGCGACTCGTGGAACCCGCTGATGGCGGCCGCGGTGGGCGGCAGGTGGGCACCCGCCACCTCACCCTGTGCAGCCTGCGCCTGGCTCCCCGCGTCGCCTTCACTGCCAGCCGCGGTATAGGTTCAATGTTGGGTGGCGCCTGGTGCTGCCCATGCACCCTGCGGCCGACTGATCGCAGCGTGGCTGTGCGCATGTGCTCGCCCGCAGGACCAGCATCGCGTTGAAGCTGCTGCAGGCGGCGGGGCAGGAGGCCGCGGACCTAGTCCAGGCTCCCAACCGCTACGGGGCGACCAGTCTGCACATTGTGCGTCTGTGGTCAGTCAGTTTCCAGCCACTGGTGCCGCTGGTGTGGCTGCCGAGGGCAGCCTCTGGGCACCATGCTCATGTGCCTCCCTCCCGCTCGCCCTGCGCCGCAGGCGGCACGCAAGGGCTCTGCCAGCCTGCTGCGCGCGCTGGTGGACGCTGGCGGTGCTGCCAGCCTGCTGCGTGCTGATGCAAATGGCAAGACGGCGGCAGACTATGCGCGGAGCATGCACAATGGCTCTGCCATGCGCGTGCTCAGCGACGCCAGCAACATTGCTCGGCGCGAGCAGCAGCGCCAGCGGGCCACGGTGCCGACGGCGGAGCGCCCCAGGGCCCATGAACACCACCAGCAGCATCCGCAGCGCTGGGTCGGGCGCCGCTTGCAGCAGCGCAAGGGTGGGAGCGGGGGCCAAAGTGGCACCGGCCACTGAGCCTGCCCACACCCTCTTCCCACAGGCTTCTTCTTGCTCTCTCTCAAAAGTTTGAACACACGTGTTGCTGCGGTCTGCCAGCATACCATGAGCTGTGTCTGCTTCTGCTGACCCCAGCTTGTTTTCCTAGCACCGAGCGTTTTCCGTCCCACCGCCTCATGCGCATTTCGTTGCTCTGCGTGGTCAATCCTTTTGGCATGCATGTATAATATTGAGTTGACTGGTCACTGCTCCTCTCCTGTATTCTGTGCCTGTCCGACACTGTAAACAAACAAACATGACTGGTCGTCATCACCCGCAGCGTGCCGTTGTACCGCCGTCCCTGCCGAAGCCCTCAACCATCGGCTTTGTTCGCCGTTGTTAGGCCGATATTAGGCTTGGACATTGTTGCTCAATCAAGCTTTGAAGGAGCGCTACAATGCCGGCTGTGGGTCCGGCTGAGTGGAGTGTGGCCGACGTCTGTGAGTGGCTGGAGAAGGATCTACAGCTGCCCGCTTCTGTGGCCCAAGAGTTCCGCGCCAACGCGGTCGCGGGAGCAGGTGGGGTTCAATATATTCGCTTGCCCTGCAGAGGGGGGAGTGTCGGCAGCCTGCACAGCCACTGCGCCGTTGTGATGTGCTGTCGTGGCCCGTACATGAGAAGGGGCGCTCGCGCCGCCTGCCCTGCCGCCCAGCGCGCCCGTCTTGCCCCTGCCCTTCCGCCGAACGCCGAACAATGTGTGCTGCACCAACCCCTGGTTCCTCCTGTGTGTTTAGACCTGCTGGAGCTCAGCGATGATGATCTGACAAAGGTGTGTCCTTTGCCCTGCTGCTGCCGGGCTGCCCAGCGCCAGGGCGGGAGCGCCGCCAGCAAGTGTCCTGGTGCGGGCATGGGCAACCTCCTCCCTTCTGGCCGGCGATCGCCTGCAGGAGCTGCACTGCACGGGCCTCCAGGCTCGCAAGATCCGCAGCTCGCTCAACAAGTTGGGGTTCAAAGCGCCCGGCGGCGCGGCCCCGACCGCGCCGCCAGCCCCTGCCGCGGCTGCGCCCCCGCCCCCGGCTGCCGCTCCAGCGGCACCCCCTCCAGCGCCTGCCGCCCCGGCGGCGGGGCAGCCAGACCCTCGCTCCTGCTTCGCGGCGGCCGACCTGCAGCGGTACCGCGACATACAGGCGGCCATTGGGGGGCTGGAGGCGCTGCAGGTGGGCTGGGGCGCAGGCATGGTGCGGGCACGAATCCACCTCGGCCACCTCGGTGGGTGGGCTGCGCAGGGCCGCTGGCTGGCGCTCACAAGCTTCAAGCGCTGCCCCACTGCCCCCCCATGCCCTGCCTGCCCTCAGATCCCCAGCAAGCTCAGCCAGGCCCGCCAGTTCACAGGCAAGGTGAAGCAGTCGCTGGATGGCGTGCAGCAGGCGGTGGCGGGCAGCAAGCGGGCATATGAGGAGGCGGAGATCGAGGTGGGCGGGTGGCGGCAGCGCCGCGCATGTGCTGCCCGCTTGCCCGGCCCCTGCTTCTCCAGCCTGCCTGGTGCAGCGCAGCGAGGTGCTCCCCTGCCCTGGGCTTCCGCTGATATGCATGCTGGTGTGACGCGTACCGCCTGCCTGCCTCCGTGTACCGCAGCACAAGAAGTACGTTGTGGACGACAAGTGGTACCCCGGCAAGGTGCTGGGCGGCAAGGGCAAGCAGGAGGAGAAGAAGGAGGCCGCCGACGCGGCGCTGAAGAAGGCCGCCGACCAGCTGCGCAGCAACGAGGGGCAGGCGGCGGCGCTGCAGCAGCAGCTGGCCGAGGCGCAGAAGCAGCAGGCGGCCTGGCAGGGCAAGGTGGGCGAGGCGGGCCGGTGCAGGCGCGGCGCGGGGCCCTGGGTTGCCACCTGAGTGCATGCCGTGCGTGGCCAGCGGCGGACAAGCTTCTTGCCGTCGCACCCTCGTCAGTCGCCTCTGCGCTGCTGCATGCGTTGGCCACACCCGGTGCAGGAGTCTGAGCTGGCCCGCGCCAGGCGCGACCTGGAGGAGCTGGTGGAGCGCATGTTTGCCTCGCCAGCCTGGCGCGCCTCCCCCGCCATGGCCGCCATCGAGGACGCCAGCAGGGCGCTGCAGGGGCAGGCGGCAGAGGTGGGGGTAGTGGCAGGCACAGCAGGGATGCGAATTTCGCGCTTGCTTGCTTGCTTGGGCAGGCGGCGAGAACGGGTGGCAGGGCGAGAGCGTCCCCAGCCGACTCCGGGGGTGTGATATGATACGGTGCTCCTTTCCTGCGCGCATGCAGGCGGCGCGTGGCGTGTCCACATACGGCCGCGGCGCCCAGCTGCTCAACAGCGCGCTGGGCCACCTGCAGGAGGCGATGCAGGTGCGTGCTGGCAGCTCCCTACCCACACCGCACCCACCAACGCCGCCTTGCGGCACCAGCAGCCGTGCCGTCCAGGCCTGGCGGTGCGGTGCTGCACGCCAGTGGCCGCCAGCGCCTCGCCCGCTCGCCCAGCCTCGTGTGTGTAAAATGCCCCACCCCCTTTGCTGCTGCAGGGCCTGAGCCGCACCCAGGCGATGGCGATGGCAGAAATGATTACAATTCGCAGAAATGACTTTATGATGGTGAATGGCAGTGTCGGGCTCCCGAGCATCTCGGGGAACCTGCACTGGGCAGCCGCGCACAGCCCTACATGTATGGTGCATTCGTGTTCGTATGCAACAGGTGGCAGAAGCCCATGCTGTGACTGCTGTGCTCCTGCTGCGCAGAACATGGCGGAGATGGCAATCTACAGGAAGGCCAACGAGGCCTGCTCACAGGCTGCTCAGCAGGCCGAAGAGGTGGGCGGATGGCCGCCAAGCGCTGCCTGTGCACTTCCTGCCACTCTTGTGCGCTCTGTACCTGCCGTCCGACACCACCCCACGTTTCACCGGACTTCCCCTGGCCTCCCTGGCCTGTCCTGGCCTGCAGGCTCGCAGCATCCTCGGCCCCGGCCTCCCCCGCATTGACCCGGGCCTGCTGGCTGACGCCAAGCGCGGCCTGTTCATTCAAATGCTCATGGGCGGCATGGTCAGCGACATCATGCAGGTGTGTGTGTGTTTCGCCTGATTTCCTTGTTTGTTGACGAAAACATAACAATCATTTGCTCGATGAAACGGCGCTGTCTGCAACCTTTGCCGCAGATGAGGGCCATCCGCCAGTCGATTGACAAGGTGCAGCTGATGCTGCAGCAGGTGAAGCCAGCCGCTGCCTGGGCGCAGTCCAACCTGGCCGTGTACCAGCACAAGGATGCGGAGCTCAAGGGGCAGGTGGGTGCGGGGTGGGCTGGCGGGCGTGTGGTGGCAGCGCGCGTGTGTGTGTGGAAAAGTCGGGGACCCGCAGCTGATGATTCGGGGACCCGCAGCTGCACACATGCCTGTCTTCTGCGGCACCCTCGCAAGTGCTGCCGCCGCACGCCCTGAAGCCACCTGGGGTTTGGGGTGCAGGCCGCGGCCAAGCGGCGCGAGCTGGAGGGCCTGCGCTCGTCGGCGCTGCAGACGGCGCTGGCCAGCACGCAGGCGGGGCCTGGCGCGGTACCGCCGCTGGAGAAGCTATCGCTCATCTGAGCGACCCTCAACTTGCCTCAGGCTGCCGGCCCGGTTGGCTTGGCGGCCCTGGGGATCCGGCCCGGCCCGAGCAGCACCCTTAGGAGTCTGGCCCACAGCACGATGAACCAACAGCACCACGTTTCCCGACCAAGCCCCCCTGCCCACATGCAATGCATTCTTGCCCGCCCCAACTAGCGACCGCATCCCAATCAGTGCCTTTGTTTCCCGTTCACATTCAAGCTATGGTTCCATGGTTCTGCTGCTCGACTCGCATGTGATAAGATGGACTTGTGTCTGCCACGCGCTTGCGCTCAGCCCCGGCCATCATCATAGCATCATCGCGGCCCGTGACCTTCGGCCTGCCCCTCGCCACAGGCTGCCTCTGCCGCAGCGCACAGCTCGCCCACCACCGCCCGCACCTCCCGTTCCAGCTGCTGGGCCGCTGTGACGGCAGCGGCGGCATAGGCGCCCGCATCGAGGCAGGCCGCTGGGGTGGCGACTGTTGCAGGCGGCGGCGTGCCCTCCGGCTCCGCCGCCGACTCGAGCTCCAGCATGGCGTCAGGACCAGGGGTGGCCTCCTGGCCCGTCGCCCCTTCGCTGCCGCTGCCGTCGCCGCCCTGGTGCACTGGCGTGGGCGACCCTGCTGCAGCTGCGTCTGCCGCGGTTGTGGCTGCGTCTGCCGTGGCCTGGCCAGCCTGCTTTGCCGCCGCCTCCGCCTCCATCGGCGTGCTCGGTGGCAGCACCCCGTCCGCTGCCGCTCCGCCTGTCGCTTCGGCCAGGGCCGGCGACCCTGCACCGACAGCTGCCACCTCGTCCTGCACCTCAGCAGCCTCCTGCTCCTCCTCCTCACACGCCAGCGCCGCCGCAGCTTGCTGCCCTGCCGAAGCTGCGGCAGCAGCAGGTCCCTGGCGCTGGCCCTCCTGAGGGGCCACGCCAGGCGCCACCGCAGGCCCCCCACCCTCGCCAGCCACCGCCGCCTGCCCCGCCGCCAGCTGGCTGTTGAGCAGCCCCGTCAGCACCTCCTGCTGCTCCGCCGCCGCCTTCACCGCCTGCTCGATGACCGCCAGCTCCGACACCAGCTGCTGGCGCTCCGCCTCCCACTGCTGGCGCCCCGCATCCAGCGCCGCACGCTGCTCCTCCACCTCCCTCTCCTTGGCCGCCAGCTCAGCCAGCAGGCCCTGCTGCTCCACCTGCCACTGCGCCGCCGTGGCCGCCTCGCGGTGGACGGCCACCGAGCAGAAGCCAGCGATGGGTGCCTGCTCACGCGCGGCAGCGGCAGCCGCCACCTGCTGCTGCTGCAGGCGGGCCGCCTCGCCGTTGCTGGGCCCAGCCGCGGCAGGTGCCGCCGCCGCCGCTGCCGCGCCTTCCTCCCCCTGCTCGTCGGCTTGTGCTGCGCCGCTGCCGCCCACCTGCACGGCCGCGTCGGCCCTGGGCCGCCGCCGCTGCTCCTCCAGCTGCGCCTCCTGCTGCTCCAGCTGGCGCGTCTGCTTCTTCAGCTCGCGCTGCTGCTTGTGCACCTGCTGCTGCAGCTGGCGATGCTCCTGGCGCACGCTCTTGTGCTCAGCCAGCAGGTCCAGGTACACCTGCTCGTGCAGGCGGGAGTGAGCCGCCTGCTTGCCCAGCTGCTGCTGCAGGTCGGCCACCCTGCCCTCCAGCGCTGTGATGGCCGCCGCCCGCCGCTCCTCCTCCCTGCACCAACAAGGCACCAGCCACATGCCATGGGGTGAAAGGCGGGGGCTGCTTGCCATAGTGCCCAGAGGTGCCGCTGCCGCTGCTACCCGCCTCCCTTTCCCTCCCGACCTCCCCTCCCTCGCGACAAGGCGCCGCCACACGCGCTGCGCGGCCACACGCGCTACACGGCCACACGCGCTGCGCGGCCACACGCGCTGCGCGGCCCCGCACCCGATGTGGCGCAGGAAGTGGGCGCCGTAGTCCAGCAGCAGCTCCTCCCCAGCCGACACCTCCGCCGCCGTCACCAGGAAGGCGTGCGGCGTGCGCTCCCCCACATCCTCCGCCTCCACGCTGCACTCAAGCCAAGCCACCCGCCAGGCGCGCAGCCAGACACAGCGCGTCAGCAAAGCAAACGAGGCGCGTGACACAGGGCGCACAAGACAGCGGCGATAGGCCTGCACCTCCGCACCGCCACAAGGCGTGCGGCAGGGCAGCGGGCGCGCGCACCACACGACATTGGCCTCCGCCCTCAGCCCGTCGTAGGCGTTCATGAAGCGCAGCCGGCAGCTGCTCTCCGAACCTGCAGGCCCGGGGCGGCAAGGCGAGGCCAGGGCGGATGCAGCCACTCGGCAGCAGCACCAGGGTGGTTGGGGCAGCTGGCAAGCATGACCGAGAGCACGACTCAAGCAGCGCACCTCACCCCCAGCCACAGGCACCCACCGCAAGCCCGCCCGCGCACACCCACCCACCATCGATGACCAGTTCCCGGGCCCAGCCGTTGCGCGGGGGCTGGCGGCCGCCCTCCTCGCCGCCCGCCGTCATCCACAGCGCCTTGATCTGGTCGGCGCGCAGCCCGCCCACCCCGCGCGGCTCCGCCGCCACAGCATCATCCACCTCCTGCTAGTGGCGTGGGCGGGCACGGCACAAGATGGCACCATCGGCATGCGCGGCGGGTGGGTCGCCCTTCTTAGATGGCGGCATGGACGGCATCGGCAGCGCGGGGCATCAGGCGCGTGGGGTGACCACAGCATGCGATGCATCCCACCAGGGCGATAGCTGGCTGCCGCAGGGCGGTTGCTGCCGGTGCCAGCCTGCCGCACCACGCACCTCGCCCGTGCACACCATCCCGCACAGCTCGCCCAGCAGCGTGCCGGCAGGCAGCGGGCGCGTGGCAAACACGCCCCACTCGTGCCGGCGCCCCACGCGCAGCCCTGCGTGCACAGGCAGGCGGCAGCAGAGCCAGGCCTCGGCCCCCGGGCGGCATCGGCCGGTGGCCCCCACACCGCGCACACCAGCAGCGCACACAGCGCGGGCTCACGAGCGGCTGGCTGGAGGGTGGCGGCCACCTACCCGACTGCTTGGCTGGGTGTGAGGCATCCGTGATCTCCTGGACTTGCATCAGGGCATCAAAGTATGCGCGCTTCCCAGCTGCAACCGCGCACCAAAAACCATGTCAGGCAGCCACCACCAAAGGGCAGCGGCACAGCGGGCGCAGAGCGGTTGCGAGCCGTCAGGAGGGCAGCCTGCACTGGCCGGCCCCGCCAGTGGGCCGCTGCACCCTGGGCAGTCTGCTGCGATGGCGCCAGTGCCCCCACCTGCGTCCTTGAGGCAGTACTGGTCCATGCCTGCAGAACATGGAGCCAGAAGAAGATGTCCAGCCACGGCAGGCATGCAGCCCTTTGAGGAGTCGCCACCAGCACAGCAAACAGTGTAGCCGTGCACGGCTCCTCACGAACAGGCAGGCGGCAGCGAGCGGCTCACAGTATGGCATCCCCTTGCGCTCAACCTCACTAAAGCCTGCATACAAGACCGGTGGGGTGAGTCCCGCAGGGGCGGCGCCTGGTGCGGGCCAGCTCATGCAGGGGCGCCACAACTGTTTGACCCCAGTTCCAATTCCTGCTCGCGCTGCTTTGCATGGGCTTGGTGCTGTGAGCAGCACACAGCAGCGGGCATGGCTCACCCTGCAGTGAGGCGGGGTCTGGCCGCATCCTGTCCTGATCGGCAGTATCTGCACCCAGCGCAGCCCGCCGCTGCCGCACCACGTCGGCGGCTGCCTTGGAGTAGCTGTTGGTGTGCACATCATGCCTGGAACGACACAACGGGCAAGCCCATCAAAACACCATGTGTGCCGCTGCTGTGCGAGTGTCCATCGCCCCACAAACGGCTGACCACCAGCACGGCACCAGCGGCACCGCTCCCGCGCTCACCATCCCTGCTGCCAGAGGCGGTGCTGCTCCAGAGGGGTTTCCTGCTGCTGGTTCGTGGTAATCTTAGGGCCAGCATGGGTTTTAGGGCGCTTGGCGGTGGGCCCGCCTAAGTCCCGATTCGGTGCTCCCCCGGCCATGACTCCCTCGCTGTACGCAGGTGAGAGAGAGCTCAATCCTGCCCAAATCAGATGAGCAAGGCCCCAGGAACGCGCAGTGTCGGCTGCCAGGACCCTACTCTAGGGTTTAACAGCAACAAGGGCGCTCCGATCAGCAACAGGGAACCGATCAGAGGAAGAACCGATCAAAGTGGAGGACGATGTTCATCCAGGCGGGCTATCGTGTACTGCCGGCGGGCGGGAAGGACAGCGCGCTGGGCGTTTGCGCACATTGTCGCCACTTCACTTTCGCCTCTGTTGGCCCCCCATGTGATTGCATCCGTGTTACATGTCAACCTGGTTGGCATGGTGCGATGCAAAGCATGTGAGCGGTTCCAGGTCCGTCAGGGGCCGCACAGAAAATGGCGTGGTGCGCATGGTGAGAGTGAGTAGGGTAGCAGAGAGGGGGCGCCGACAGCGTGAAGCTAGCCACAAACACTTCAATCAACTCCGAGTAGTGTGAAAACGTGAAAACAACAGGGCAAGCAGCCGCACACTTGGCGCTAAGGGATTGGGAGGTGCAGTGTTTTCTGGGGTACACGGGTCCAGGACGGTCCATGTGGGACGCGCAGACGGGGCGATGGTGTACAGAATACGGCAGGCAGGGGGAGAAACAATGAAAGAAGATGAAGGGGGGAGGTGCGCAATGGGACACCACAAGCTTACCCAGGCTGGCGCCAACTTCATGGCGAGCCCGGCATGGCATTTGGACAGAAGGGGGGCGCTACAGAAGCTAAATGCGTTCAAGGTCAACGGGTGGACGGCAATTGCAACGTTAACACGGTAGAGGTGACAGGGAGGGGTGTGGGTGAAGGTGGGGCGTCAGCACAGCGAAAACGGCCCAGGTCGGCCACAGGAAGCTGCAATGCTCTTCTACATCAGCGGCAAAGGCAGGCAAGGGCGGCCCAATGTGATTGGTGTTCACTGAAAGCAGGAGGGGCGCGCCATTGCCAGGCCAGAGCGTGAGAAAGGGGTTGTCGCGGAAAAGAAAAAAAGCAAGTGAATGGCAAGGAAAAAGACACTATCAGAGTGAAGTGTAGAAAGCAGGGTGCAAAGAATTGCAGGTGAGGGCGAGGAGGTGTGGGCCTTGTTCATGAGTGCCAGGCTAGGCATGGCAGAGCAGTGTCGCGGCAGCGTGGCCTCCGTGGCACTTCCTCTCGCCGGCAGCGGGCGCGCCGCTGTTCTTGCGGCTGCAGCACACCAAAACGGGGAAGGGGGCGATCAGGGTGTGAGGCCGCAGCCCTTCCACCCATCATGCCCAGCATCAGCACACCCTGCCCCTCCGCCCCGTGGTTGGTGGCGGCAGCCCGCCTCACCTCGCTGCCTGGGGGCTGCCCTTGCTCAGCGACCGCTGCAGCTCCTGGGATGCCCCCTCCTCAGACGTCAGCGAGCTGTGGCTGAGCCCAAAGGCCAACCCCTCCACCACGTCTCGCGGCGGCGCGTGCCCCATGCTGCTGCTGCGGCTGCACGCCGACGAGCTGGGCGCACGCCCAAAGTCTGCGGCGGTCCAGTAGGCGGTGTCTGCATCGTGTACCACATCCACGGTGGTGGCCCGCTTGCAGCCGCGCACGGATGGGTCGCGCACCACGCCGCCGCGCATGCTGCGCTCGGAGCCGCCGTGGAGGGAGGAGGAGGGGGTGTACTGCCCGTTGCCCAGGGAGGAGGAGGGGGTGTACTGCGCGCCGCGCGGCCGCGACTCGTCGTCCGCCACCGCCGGCTTGCTGAAGCAGGCAAACAGGCCGCGCTTTGGGGGCGCTGCGGGGGCGGGCACGGGGTGGGGAAGGGGTGGGGAGGGGCTGTTAGTCAGCAATGAATTGTGTGCCAGCCTGGAAGCCCAGCCGCATGGCGCCCTGCTCCCCACTTACTGCCCCACCCAGCGCTGGGCAATGACCACGCCCCGCACCCCAGCTGCCCACCCCCGCCCCCCGCACTGCCCGCCCATGGTGCCCACCTCTGAGCTGCGGCGGCTGCACCATCTCCTCCACCAGCGTGGAGAGGTTGGGGTTGGAGAGGGCGGTGCGCAGGCGGCCCCCAAACTTGGCGCACACCTCGCGGAAGTCGGCGCAGCCGGGAGGGAGGATGTCCAGCACAACCACTGCGCCACAACCAGTTGGGGGGGAGGGGGCAGGGCGGAGAGGGCAGGGCAGAGGGTGAGGCTCGCAGGGTTTAAGGGCAGGCACGGCGGCGCATCGCTCGCGGCTGAGCAGGCGTGCACGGCGCCGGCCTGCGAGGGTGGCTGCTGCTGGCGGGCCTGCGGCTCCCTCCCGCGCCTCTTGTGAGCAGGCTCCCCCACCCACCTGTGACGTCGTCCGCAAACAGGCCTCCCCGACAGGCTGCCACGCTGGTGACGGCCTGGGTGGCGGCCGCCTTGGCGCTGCCGTGCGCTCGCAGCACGCGCGCCACGCGCCCCGCCGGCATCGTGTCCCACAGGCCGTCGGAGGCCAGGATGAGGCGCGCGCCGCTGGGCGGCACCCTGACCTGGCGTATGTGCGGGTTGGGCAGCAGGATGTCGCCCACATCCCGGTCGCCGATGCCCCGCGCCACCATGATGCCGCCGGGCCAGAGGCGCACGGGGCCCACGCCGTCGGTGACGCAGCTGGAGGGGCCCGCGCCGTACTCGTTCAGACGCGCCAGCCGCCCGCCCGCCTGCTCCAGCCGGGCAAACTCGCCGGCATTCTGTCCGATGCGGTGGTCTGCAGGAGGGGGAGAGGGGGGGGGGACAGGTGTGTGGCATGGTTGGAGCCCAGGCTGGGCTGGGAGCTGGCCCCAGGGGTGGCCTCCACCAGGGGGCGCAGGAATTCAAATCTGGCTGGCTGCAGGGATGCAGGCAGCGGCGGCGCGTGACCCCCTCAGGAGGCCGCCCCTCCCCACGCACCTGCCGTCAGCTGCACCACCTCTGCGCCCGTGTCCAGGATGGCTGTGGAGTCCCCCACATTGGCCAGCGTCAGCACGTCGCCGCTCAGCACCGCCACGGTCAGCGTGCAGCCTGCGGCGCGGGGCGCGGAGGAGGAGGGCGGGCGGGGGTCGGCGGGTGGGGGCAGAGCAGGCATGAGAGGAGGCCCCCTGCAGGCCAGGGCCCTGGGATGCTGGACTGGCCGTGCAGCGGCGCGGGAGCAAGTGGACCCAGACATACGGGGTGGACCCAAAGCAGTGCTGCTGTGCCCCCCTTCACAGTACCGTGCCCTCGGCAGCGACATGCACACGGGCCAGCAGGGGCCGCCACCCACCAGCCTGCTGAAACTGTTGGCAGACTGCCGCATCGGTGGCTACAAATGTCCGTGCCAGCGCTTGCCGCACCGCGGCATCGTCAGCTGCTGCTGCACCGCTGCCCAGTTGCCGCTCCAGCTCATCCGGCAGCATCAAGCCGACGTGACGGGCCACCACGCTGCCGTTGTGGCCATCAGCCACGGCGTACAGGGACATGCCTGAGGAGAAGGACTTGTCTCCCCGCACCACAGACACATCCTGCAGGGCAGAGTGAGGCACGCAGGTCGGCCGGGCGTGCGCCGCGACAGTGGTGCTGGCGCGGGACGTGGGGGGCGGCAGGGGGCAGCCTTGCCCTGGAGGCGGCGGCGCGCACCTCGTCCTTGGTGACCGCGAACGCTACATGGAAGGACTCCTTGAAGGCTGAGTTCTGCTGGCCGTCTTCCAGTCCGGCTGGAGTGGAGGTGGCTGGGGAGGCCTCCTTGTAGTCAGCTGGCGCGTCCATGGCGCCCTCTGATCACTCCCAAGTCAAATACACAGCCTGAGGGACGTCAGTCAGCCCGGGTTGGAGAATGCCTTCACTATGTGGGGGATGGCAGGCTGGTGACCGCCAGGCCTGTTCAAGCGGTCCAAGAAGGCAGGCCGTAACGCTGTGCACAGAGACCCAGAGTTGGAAGGCTCTAAGCGGGGTGGGGCCAGACACACGTGAAAGCACGCAGCGCGTGGGGGCCAGTAGGGGATAGAACGTCCAGGGTGACTGGAGCTCCTTGTGCTGCGATGTTGGGCACCGGGAGTGCCTGTGTAGGCCGGTTGCGAGCCGAATTTTCCTACTTTCCACCACCCCCTTCCTCTACACAGCCTGCCAGCCGGGTTTGAACCCCGAAAACATCCACCACCCCACTGTTAAATGCAATAACGCACACGGGGAGGCTCCTTCTGCCGCAGGGGCACTGACTGAAATGTTGGAGGCCTGCTCCGTTGCCCTGCTCTCCCCTTGATGTTCACTTCAAACTTCAGCTCCCAAAAGAATTCGACTGTGAACGGTGTGGCAAGACCAGTTGTAGCTTCCCTGCGGATTCGTGAAGAGCGTATGGACTGGACTCTGTGTGTCCAGAGGCCATCATCCCTGAGCCCCCTGATTCACCATGGGCCCCCCTGATTCATCATGAGGCGTTCTGAATTTACACATGTGCATGGGCAGCAAATGTGCACATGCCCACCAGTGCACATGAACACAAGCCAACACGGCCTGCCGCCGCCGTCACACGATGCGCTCCACCTCACGGGCATAGTTGAGGCAGTGGTTGATGATGTCCAGGGAAGGCAACGCGGCGGCGGCCGCCGCAGCATCTTTGTCGGCGGCGGGCTTGAAGGTGATGCGCCCGTTGGACACCTCCCAGCCGTGCTGCACATAGGGCGGTGCATGCGACGGCGATGCGGGTGGAGCGCAGGCGGGGACACAGTGGCAACCACAAGGGCGATAGTGGCAGCCCTCCCTCCCTCCCATCCCTTCCATCCACCCATGCGGCCCCGCAACCCTGTCAGCACACCTCTGCTGCAAACTCCACCACCTCGGCCTCGCTGCCCAGCATCATCATCGCCGCCGCATCCGCCACGCTCAGCGAGTTGTACGCGCGCTCGCTGCAGCTGGCCACCTCCTCCCTGCACCGGCGCCGCACAGCATGGCAGGTCGGGGTGGACAGGGGCCAACAGCCAGCCAGCCAGCCAGCCAGCCAGCCAGCAGGCAGCAGCAGACATGCTTGCCACCGCATCACCCCACCCCGCCCCGTGCACCCCTTCAAGCTGGCCGCATCCCACCCTCGCCGTGGTGACCTCCCTCCCCCCGGCATCATGCCGTCCCTGGCTCGGCGCGCGCCCAGCCCCACCTGACTGTGGAGGACAGCTGGTCCAGGAAGTGCTTGTAGTAGTCGGAGGCGGCGCGGGCGCGCGCATCCAGCACCTTGTTGTACGCGCCCTCCATCAGCCACTGCTCCAGCTCCACCACCTGCGCGCCGGCACGGGGAGGGGCGCAGCATGCGCAGCCGTGGGCCCAAAGGCCACCACGCATTGCTGCCGCCGGCACGCATCGCCTTGAGCCCTGCTGGCGCCTCTCCCACTTCTGTGCATCGCCACGCCGCCGCCGCACCTGCGCCACCTCGCCCGCCGCCTGCACCGCGGGCGGCACCACCTCCAGCTCGGTGTGGAACTCTGCAATGCGGTTCTGCACCAGCAGCCTCAGCAGGTTGAGCGCCGTCAGCGTCGCCTCCTGGTCGCTGGGCGGCAGCAGGGGGCGCGCGTCGCCGTAGTAGACGCGCAGCTGCGCAAAGTTGCGCTCAAACGCCACCTCGTCGCCCTGCTTGATGCTCAGGAACACCGCCAGCTCCAGCACCTGCCCTGCAGCCAGGCGCGGGCCAAGGGCAAACAGAGGCGGGGCATGCAGTTCGGAGTAGGAGAGGTGCGTGGATGGCCGCCCAGGCATTCCCAGCAGCAGGCATTCAGGCGCCAGGCATGGACAGTGCACCAAAGGGAGCTCCGCCATGGAGGCCAGGCGCAGCACCGGCACGCACTCGCTAGTGTGAGCTGCTGCTGCGCGTTGGGGCTGGGCTCATACACCGGCGGCAGCGCCGGCAGCTTGGTGAGCTCCAGCTGCACAGGGGTGCAAGCCGTGGCTCAGGAGAAGGAGGTTGCCCAGAGAGGTTGGCCACGCCCGCCAGTGGCCGTCGGCTCCACACAAGGCGGGCGGGTGCCTGCCCCCCGGCGGCGCCTCCCTGCTCACCTTGAGCCGGCTCAGCAGCTGCTTGCAGGCCGCGAGGTCGCCTTTGGAGAAGGCTGCCTGCGGGTAGACAGGAAGGCGATCAAACGATCAGCGCCGCCCGGCGGCCTTTGATCACTGCACACAGGGCGACATGCCTTCTGCACGCACCTGCAGCTGTGCAAAACCCGCGGTGGCGGGGCCAAGGTCTGCCATCGGGTGGTGCCGCTCCCTAAGACCTCTGCGCAATTCCGAAGAGCAATATCACTACTTATTTTGCCAGCAAGCAGCCTCTTGGGCCGCGCTTGAGACCAATGAGCTTGTAGTGCCCCCTGTCCGGCAGCCGAAAAGGGTGTCCTCTCAGGCCGCCCGCATCGCCATCGTCACTGCCAGCGCAGTTTCACAGTCCCCCAAGTCGCTGCAGAAGCCCAACCCCGACGTTCGATCGCTCCGCTGCGCCCTTTGTGGCCTCCAGACTTGGTCTCGTCATCAATTGCATGCCCCTCAGTGTGGATATGCCAGTGTAGCCAGAAGGGGAGCAGGCTGGCTCGCCGCCCAGGATGGACGGCGCCCAAAGCGAGGCTGTGCCCCGGTACTTGGTCGAGCAGTCGAGCGATGGGAAGCGGGAGACGGTGCAGCTGCTGGTCTGGCTGCCAGGTGCGGGAACATGCCGACACCATGCCGCAGGCGGCCTGACCTCGTCTCTGCCGCTCACTGACGTTTGCGCCTGCGAGGCTGCTGCTACACAGGGGTGGAGGACAGCAGCCAGATTTTCTTCCTGATTGAGGGCCCCCGTCACCTGGTGGTCCACTGCCCGGGCCGCTTCCGCGCGGTGCGTCGCGCTCCGCTGCCGCCTGCTTGTGTCACGCGCTTTCTGGTTCCCCAGAATCGCACTGTTCTTGCAGACAGCCCTTCTGCATCATCTCACCTGTTTATTTGTGCACCGTATGGTCCTGCAGGACATCCCTCTGAGCACAGATGTGGAGAGCGAGGCGGAGGCTGTTCGGTTCCTGAAGAAGAAAGGGGTGCTCAAGGCCACCCTGCTGGTGGCCGGCCAGCGTGGCGCTGCAGCCAACAGCGGCAGCCGCCAGCAGGAGGACGGAGAGGGGCAGGGCGAGGAGGTGAGGCAGCAGCAGGACAGCGCCCAGACGCCGCCGCCCAAGGAGCAGCCGGCCAGCCGGTACGACGATGCCCAGGCGCCAGTGCAGGCAGCCCGGCAGCAGCAGCAGCAGCCGCGCATCGACCCGGCGCCGGCGGGCCCTTCCGCCACCTCACCCCGCGAGCAGCTGGATGCACAGATGTACGCCGCCGCCACCCAGCACTCCAACCGCGACGCTGCGGCGGAGTTTTTTGCCAAGGCCCAGCAGGCGCTGCACGGCGGCGAGGCGCAGCGCGCGCACCGCCTGCTGCAGAAGGCCTGCAAGCTGGACCCAGGCAGCTCGCAGTACCAGGCAGCGCTGCAGGCGGTGGCTGACAGCGGGGCAGGCGGCGCCAGCGGCAGCTCGCAGCAGCCGCAGAGCAGCGGAGGCGACGGTAGCGCCAGCGGCAGCTCACAGCAGACGCAGGACAGCAGTGGCGCCGGCGCCCATGCGGGCGCGCGGCAGGCCAGCAGGCCGCAGCCTGAGCAGCGGGAGGAGGCGGATGGCCACCGCATGTACCACCAGGAGCGGCGGCGCCAGCAGCGGCAAACCCGGCAGGAGGAGGCGGCGGCGGCGGCCGAGGCGGCAGCAGAGGCGCTGGCCGCCGCGGTGCAGGAGAAGAAAGCAAGGGAGAAGGCTCGCAAGGCGCGCATGGCGACGATTCGTGAGTGAGGCTGCAGGCTTGCGGCGCTGCTGCCTCCCGCCCACCTGGGCTGTCATCGTGCTGACAAGCTGCGCATGCCAGCTGGCGCGCACATGGCCCCAGCAGCAGCGAAGGTCCCCACCTCCCCTCATGTCCTGCCTGCAGGCTACGGGCTCATCGGGCTGGCATGCCTGTGCGTCACAGCCTGCTCGCTGTACTGGCTGCTGAGGCTGGCGCCGCCCGCCGCGCCGCTGACAGATGCCGAGGGCGGGTGGAAGTGGGCTGGCGCCCGCCTGGCAGCCGCCCTGCTCTTTGTGCCGCGCGTGCTGCTGTGGCACCCCACGTGGAGCGTGGCGCTGCTGTGGGCGGCTGCAGCGGGTGAGCGGTGCCAGTGCCGCGAGGCAGCAGCCCGCAGAGGCGGCTGGTTTCTAGCTTGCTGTCACACCACGGGCGAGCTGCGCAGGTTGAGGAGTGGCCCACCCTCAGGTCCTCGCCTCCTGTGGCCCCTGCAGGGTGCGGGTGTGGCGTGGTCAGCGCCGCGGACTATGCGCAGCAGCAGCGGGGCACTCCGGCTGTGGTGCCCGCCGGCGTGTTTGCCCTGGGCCTCATGGCCGCATGGCACCCGCTGCTGTGGTGCGCCTGCGGCGGCGGATGGGGCGCGGTGCTAGGTGAGCTGGCGAAGCGGCAGGGGCCTGCGGCTGAGGCTGGGGCAGGGTCTTGGGGCAGCGGCCGCGTCGCTGGCGCCTCCCGCGCACATGCCGCCTGCTGCGCTGCGCAGCACACCCTCTGCCACCTCGCTCTCCGCCCACCCACCACCAACCCACGCCCCGCCGTGCCCCCACCCGTGCTCCCTCCCCCCCACAGGCACCCTGGCCGAGCTGCTGCCCCTGCAGCGCGCCTTTGGCTCATCCACGCTGGCCCACCTGGCGCTCTACCCCGCCGCCTGCCGCCTGCTGCGCTGGGCCGCCTCCTGGCCGCTGCCGGCCGCCTTGCTTCGCGCCGTACTCGGCGCACCGCTGCTGTGGCTGTGGCGCCGCCTGCTGTGGCAGCCCAGGTGGTGGTTGAGCCTGCCGGCGGCCGCCGCCCTCCTGCTGGCCGCCGAGCTGGGCGCCAAGGTGCCTGCGGCGCAGAAGCGCGTGCCCACCGTGCTCTGGCTGCTGGCAGCCATGTGCGCCGCCACCTGGTGAGCGCGCTGGGCGCTGCCGCCGCACCCGCCGCCCTCCCATCTCGTGTTTGTCAGATGGTCGGAGGTGCATGGGCTTGGCTTTGGAGGTTGGATGGGACGCATGCACACCTGGCCTGCGCACCTGACCCGCGTGTGAACCCTGGCCCGCCGCCGCAGGTGGCTGCTGGGCGGCGGCTGGTGGGCGGTGGTGCACCTGGCAACCGTGGCGGCCGCCTTTGCCGCGCTGCTGGCGGCCATGGTGCAGCCCTGGCCGCAGCTGGAGGCGCACCTGACCACCCACTTCCGCGCCATCCCCGCCCCCTTCCTCGTCGCCAAGTGAGAGAGAGCCTGGCCGACCGCCCACACGCCCGCCGCCTGTGCCTGTGCTCCTGGGCCTGGGCAGGCCTGCAGCCCTGCTGGCTCCCCGCACCATGCGTGCGCACCGCTAGGCCTGTGCCTGAGCGGATGGCCCGCCCGCCCCGCCTGCCCGCGCCGCCGCCGCCGCCGCCGCAGGCTGCTGTTTGGCCTGGTGTGGGCTGGGACGGACGTGTGGAGCTGGGTGGCCGGCCTGGGGGCCGCCGTCCTGCTGTACCTGCACCTTGCCGCCACGCGGGATTCGCGGGGGGACGGCGGCGGGCGCGGCGGCGGGCGCGGCGGGCCCGGGCAGCCCGCGGGCGCGCCGCCCTCTGGCATGCAGCACCTGTACAACGACGTCCCCGCGGGGGCTCCCGAGGCGGTGGCCGCCATCCTCAAGGCAAGTCCGGCCCCCCGGCCCCCATGCTGTGTGACGCTCTGTGGCCCCGTGCCTCCCGCTGGAATGCACCCACGACACGCCTTGCTCCCCACTCGCGCCACAACTGCCACCACCACCCACCCACACCCACACACCCACCCACACCCACACACACCTCCCCCCCCCACCCCCTGCGCAGGCTGGCAACTACTACGAGGTGCTGGGGGTGGGCGGCGATGCCGACGAGGCGTCCATCCGCCGCGCCAAGCGCACCCTCAGCCTGGCCACGCACCCCGACAAGATTGGCGACGCGCCGGGGGCCAACGACGCGTTCAACCTGGTCACAGAGGTGCGGCGCTGGGTGTGTGGTGCGGGTGTTGGGGTGTGGGTGTGGCGATGGGCTGGGGGGTGAGGGTGTGTGCCTTGGGAGGGCTGTGCGTGTGGTTGAGGGGGGACAGAGGCCATCAGCAGGTGGCGGCATGTCCGGTGTGTCCCTGGCGTGTGCGTGTGTGTTATGATGGACGGGGCGAGGC